TGGCAGTCCGTTGCAGTTTCATAACTGGATTCCGCATGTCACATTACATATGTGGCAAAGAGGAAGGTAATGAAATCATGAATGGAAAGTTGAAGTCCGCCTTAAACAAATTCACACCATCGGCATTTTCTTCTACTCTGATTTTTTTCATCTCTCCACAACTCTTGCAAAGCCAAACGGCGATAGGGAATGGGTGGTGGGAGCAGGTTTTGGAGAAACTGGAAGCTTCTAGGTTTGAACCTACACGTTGGCAAAGAACTTATAAAGGAAGCGATCAGCAAAGAAGAAATTAAATTCTTTGGTACGAGATAAAGTCGACGACGACGAGGTAGTTTATAAGTGACTTTAAAAAAAAAAAACAAAACAAATTAATATTCAGAATTATTCAGATGTTTCAGAATTTAGGGGTTATTTTGTGCCACCGCTGAAGACAAAAAAACAAAAGACAAAAAAAAAAAAAAAAAAAAAACGGAAATAATTCGACTTTCATTAGAGTTGATCATGGTTGTTATCACGTGACCATTACTTGTTATCACGTGATCATTTCTTTTTGGGCAAAGATAGGTATAATCAAATTCATTCCTGGGATATTTAATACTGATTGTTTGATGATTAGTTTAGTTAAAGAGGATAGAAATATTTATCAAATTAGCTTAGACTAGCAAAAGGTTGTAATAGTTAAGTACTCGCAATATTTGCATATGGTATACAAGACTAGCTTATTAACCATCACTCTCCTAGGGAAGATTCTAGTTGAAGGTGGACATTCTCTTCACAAATAAAGAAGTGGCCTGATACGACAGAGATGAGGTTCTATCGATAAATACTGAGGAAACCCTGGATAGAACATGTACGCAACGAGGAAGTTTTAATAAAAGAAAGAAATTACAAGGAAACGTATACTTACAATCGGAACGAGACAGTTCTAAAATTTACTGGACATATTGAAAGCAACAGAAGCAAGTGGAAAACATAGCATAACCTATTGAAGGGCTCGTGTGAACGAGAGACAGAATAAAGATAAAGATTGATGGTAAAAAATGGAAAGTCGTGGAGGGCCATAATAGCTCATGTCCAGAAAGAACCTGGGGCCTAAAAGTAGAAGCTATATATATATATATATATATATATATATATATATATATATATATATATATATATGTGTGTGTGTATATGTGTGTGTGTGTGTGTGTGTGTACAGAGTGCGATAGATAAATTGTCGTCTAAATTACGCAAAAATGAAAATAACACTGACATCTCATTTTAACAGATATATTTACCAAAATTACACAAAACATATTTTAAAATACTGAAGAGTAAATTTATTCAATAAAATCGCCATTGGCTTTAACCACGACCTCCAGACGATTTCGAAATCTGCTGCAACTTTTCTGGACGGCCTCCACGTTTACCTTGATGAATGCTCACACAATCTTTGCTTTCAGTTCATCTTTAGTGTTACAAGGTGTTTTGTTAGTCTCTGCATCCCCACATAATAATCAAGGGGGTTGCAGTCTGGAGGGGTAGTTGGCCATATTTATGTGGTTCCTAGAAATTGTGTGACATTCATCACTGGGTTCTCCTATTTGTTTGGCATGGTGCAGAGTCCTGTTGCCAGACATTGGTTCTTCCAGCAACCACTCACTTTGCCCAGAGATGCACTACTTTTCAAAGCATTTGATGCAGGATTTGGTGTTGAGTGTGAGGCCCTGTGGGAAGATGAATGAAGGCATAATATAGCCATCATTAGGGATCACTCCAAACTCCTTTGTAATCACCATTAGACTCATCCAACGCTTTTTGAATCCTCTGCACTGTTTTCAGATTGACACCTAAACACTCTGAAATATTCATATTGGAGATTCCGGCGCAAATGCCAAGCAGGACAGCATCCCAATTCTTCTGGTGGAGTGAATTACGTCATGGTGCTCCTTTTCTCATAGACTGTGCCCAACTGATCATACTATACTGTAAAGTTATTAAAATAAATAAAAAATAACGCGCATGCGCGAAATTAAAAAAAAGAAAAGAAAATGGCGACAATTTACCCATCGCACCACACACACATAAACACACACACACACACACACACACACACACATATATATATATATATATATATATATATATATATAGTGTGTGACACACGAAAAAATAGTAAGTTATTAACAAAATTCGTAGTAATAGTAAATAGTCGTAAATAGTTAATAATCGTAAATAGTCATAAGACTAGTTTTTTAACGATCAGACTATGACAAGTTATCAAGTAGACATAACCAAAAAAGATTTTTTCGCCCAATACAAGGCTGGGAGTCACTGAAGATCAAATAAAAAGTTTATTGAATGAGGGTCAGTTTATGGAGGAAAGAATTGTAGATGATGAATATATGTAGGATATGTAACTGTTGACGCTAATCTTGAAGAGACTGAGATTGTCGTGAGCGGGTGAGCATCTTCTCGGGAGTGTGTTCCATAAAACGCGGCTCTTGAGATGGGCTTGTACGAATTACATTTTCTTCTCACCAAACAAAGGAAAAGTAGCTTGTCAGAACATTTGCCATGGAAGTAGGGATAGATTATTGACACTATAGAATCATATTGTATTGTGTGTTGGCCTTGGAAAATTTAATATAATATTATATAATAATAATATTATAATAATATTATATTATATAATTATTTATATATATATTATTATAAATATTGTGTGTATCTAGGCAATATTTTTTCATTAATACATAAGCCATCATTGGAGATTAAAGATGGTAATATGGCTTTCCATACTTAACACTTCTCTTCATTTTCACACTCATTGATGTGTGACGTCATGAACCGCAATGCGATATTTACTTCCTGTGTTTCATATGCACGATTTTATCGTTGCATAGTAATCTTCCATGCAAACAAACAATCTATCATTGTTGCAAAATTAACATCTTTAATCTCCGATGTAAGCCGAAAGCTTAGAAAGGATTAAGAATAAAACGTGAATCAACATGGTGATTTTCTTTCGTTTTTCAATGATAATGTTATTAAGCTTATCAGACGTTATGAAAGGATTTTGCTGAAAATAAATATACAAGACTTGTCTATATTATTTAATGAAACGTATTATAAACATTATATATAAGTTATAATAGATTTTATATATATTATAAATAGTAATCATTATATATATATATTATAAATATTATAAATAGTAATCATCATATATATATATATATATATATATATATATATATATATATATATATATATATATAAGCATTTAAGGTCAAGCAAGGCGGGAAGCCACTAGCACGCAAGGGCTACAGAGGATTTGGAGCGAGAGCAGATAGGAGTGATAGCGGAAAGGATGATAGTGGAGAGATCAAGGCAAATTGACATTACATTTGAATAGTTGGAGATTATAGCTCTCAGGGAAACAGGAAAAGGAAAGGGATTTCCACAGGCGAGAGGTGCGAGATATGAAGCTATTGGAGTAGAAGAGGCGGCTACATTTAATAGTTTCGACAGTGAAAGTGTGAGAGCGGGATGCCAGCCTCGTAGGTCGCTTGAACTCATGAAGTTTGGGAACCAGCGAATGCAGCTGCTCGAAGCAATTACCATGAAAGTATTTGTAAAAAAGACAGAGAGAGGCGACGGCGCGTCTGGGAGAGAGTGACTGCAGACGAGATGCCAGAGCAGGACTAATTATATTGCATATCCGCCTCTGGATCTTATCAAGAACCCTGAGGCAAACAGAAGGCACACCAGACCATATATGGCAGCAGTACTCCATGCCAGGTCGGATTATTGATTTGTAGATCTGAAGGATAGATTCCGGGAAAAATTTTCCTGGTGAGGCACAGGGAGCCAACGTTCCTTATATATATATATATATATATATATATATATATATATATATATATATATATATATTATATTATATAATATTATATAGTTATTATATAATATTATATAATTATATATATTATATAATAATATATAAATATTATTTTATATAATATTATATAATTATTATATTATATAATATTATATAGTTATTATATTATATAATATATAGTTATTATATTATATAATATTATATAGTTATATAATATTATATAATATAATTATTATATTATATAATATTATATAATTATTATATTATATAATATTATATAGTTATATTATATTATATAATTATTATTATTAATTATATTATATGATATATAATTATTATATTATATAATATTATATATTTATATTATATTATATAATTATTATATTATATAATATTATATAATTATTATAATATAATTATAATAATAATAAAATAGCAATATAAATATATAGTCATATATTATATAGTTATTATATTATATAATATTATATAGTTTTTATATTATGTAATATTATATAGTTATATTATATTATATAATTATTATATTATATAATATTATATACATATTATATAATATTATATAGTTATTATATTATATAATATTATATAGTTATTATATTATATATATTATATAATTATTATATTATATAATATTATATATTTATATTATATTATATAATTATTATATTATATAATATTATAATATAATTATAATAATAATAATAATAAAATCGCAATATAATAATATAAAAATTTAATATATCTTGGAAAAGATAATTTCAACAAAATTTAAATATTATATTCATATTGCTTTTTATATTTCTTTTTATGCCGTTGCTTACCGGTAGAACTGCTCAAGTTAAATGATTAGTGCATGGAGACATTACAATTAAGGAGATATTGGTTGAATGTTGTTTATTTATGGCTTATAATAATGATTTACTGATACAAGTTTTACTAATTAACCCACAGCTGGAGGGAGAGGAGGTGGATTCATCCCTTTCCCAAGTGCAATTGGACGTAAGTGAATGCAGCGAACCAAGCTGGAATTTGAACTCGGCTCTCCGATTTTCAATTTCGAGCCGATGTCCATTACACTACCCGCACATCCAAGCTTACAGCAAATGGTATTCCCAAGCGGTCACCCATCTAGTTACTGACTAAGCTCAACGTTGCTTAATGTCGGTGATCGCATAGTAATAGCTGTTTCAGCGTGATATGGCCGTAAGTTGAAGCTATGTAGGATTGTTAACAGTTGATCTTAGACTTAAAGAGGTTAAGATTGTAGAGATCGAGAAAGCATCCCCCCGGGAGCTTTTTTTCCCCAACGCTGAATAGAACTTACATAACATTGCATGGGGATAACGTTATACAGAATGCAATCAGAAATGTTATCTTTATTTTAGCAAATTATAGGATACACAAGCGTACTAACTCAGTCAGTTGTGTGCCATGCGTGAAACATAGGTAGACGATCATGTATCTTTCGATACATGACTGATGAGGCAGATTTTTTTTCCCGCAGTAGGTTGCCATTTCTTTCTGCAGTAGACAAGTTGCCATCCAAGGCTATTTCACCAAGCTATTTACTCACAGCTGGTGGGGGGGTGAAGAAGAGGATTCATACCTTTCCTAAGGATATTGGCAGGTACGTGAATGTAATGGATTCAACTGGAATTCGAACTCGGCTCACCGATTCCTCATTCCGAGCCGCTATCCACTACTCCACCGCGCAAGGCCAAATCCAAACAAAATTTCTTGGCGTGCAATACATGGTCAGTGAGGCTAAACTGGTTGATCATTATAACTAAGTTGTGAGTTCACTCAGTCAGTTGTGTCATACATGATACACACTTAGGCAATCATGTATCTTTAAATACATGACTGACGAGGCAGATTTTTTTCCCGCAGTAAGTTGCCATTTAAGGCTATAGAGCCCGATCTTTCTTTATATTTACCCATAGCTGGGTGAAGAAGAATAGGATTGATACCTTTCCCAATGGTATTAGCACGTAAGTGAATGTAATGGATTTGAGTGGAAAGTCAGCTACTCAGTTATGTCCTATGCGTGATACACGCTTAGGGGATCATATATATTTCGATACATGACTGACGATGCAGATTTTTTCCCGCAGTCTGTTGCCATTTCTTTCTGCGGTAAACCAGTTGCCATCCAAGGCTATGGAACCCTGTTTGTCCTGCTATTTACCCATAGCTGGGAGTGGGGAGAAGAAGAGGATTAATACCTTTCCCAAGGGTATTAGCACGTAAGGGAATGTAATGGTTTCAACTGGAATTCGAACTCGGCTCTCCGATTTCTCAACCTCTCCAAATAAACCCATTATTAATTATTAAGCTTGGCATAGTCTAGCACAGAGTTGGTATTCATGCATCGAGTAAAGGTCGAATAAACTCGTCATGTACTGATAAATGAGATCATTCAGCACTATTCTTTAATAATTATCAGGCACAACGATATTTTGGTGCGTCTAAAAAATTCTAGATGACCAAAGTCTGGCAGTTGAACACTTCTCTGCTTTATTTCTAACAGATAAGTAGGGGAAAACTAGCTGGTCACATTCGCGAAAATAAAATGAGTGACGTTCGAACGTCACCAAGCGAGCATTACATTTTCGTCTATCGCACTGAGCGACTGTTAACTCACAAAGGCTTTGTGCCTTGAGCTTCTTTTGAGGCTTAACTCTTTGAGCCCTGACTACCGCTTTACCGGTGGTAGAGAGAAAAATGACGTAATGCCCAGTCACCGGTTGAACAATGGTATAGAAAAATGACTTAATGCCCAGTTACCGATTGAACAGTGGTAGAGCATAATGACTTAACGCCCAGCTACCGGTTGAACGGTGGGTCGACACTTGTAACTATTTTTAGATCTACCGTGAAACATTACATACTAATTATTTGCGAATTTTGACTCAGGAGCTCATGCAGAAGGGTTCAAATTGTTCAGGAACGCAGGGCTCAAAGTGTTAAATAAATAGGAATTTTTACTCATTTTTAATCATCCTTATTAGCATCCAGCAAATTATTTTAGCGCGAAAAATCATATTTTTCAAAACAACTATTTTATATCTCTGTAGATAGTTGCTTATATAATTAAGACTTTGAGCCGTGACCACCGCTTTATCGGTGGTAGAGAAAATGACTTAATCCCAAGCCACTGGTTGAACGGTGGGTAAACACTTGTAACTATTTTTATATCTACCGTGAAACATTACATACCAATTATTTGCGAATCTTGACTCAGGAGCTCAAGCAGAAGGGTTCAAATTGTTGAGGAACGCAGGGTCAAAGGGTTAAATATGTATCGGTAGGACGGAAGGGATCACAAAATTTCATTCTATGAACGTCTAGAATTAATCTGATCCCCTACCTCTTGAAGCTTCCCAGAAGCTCAGTGCCCAGACAGATGGATTATTTTACCCCATGTTCAGGTGGAACTACGATTTTTAATCCTTTAGCGCCTGACCATCGCTTTACCGGTGGTAGAGAAAAATGACGTAATGCTCAGCTACCGGTTGAAACGTGGGTAAACACTTGTAAGTTTTCTTTTTATATCTACCGTGAAACATTACATACCAATTATTTGCGAATTTTGATTCAGGAGCTCAGGCAGAAGGGGTAAAATTATTCAGGAAACCAGGGCTCAAAGGGTTAAATTCAGTGATCGTACAGGAACCGATGTTTCAACGTGATACGGTTGTAAGTCTCAAGTGATTCAACAAGCTTGATGTGATCAGTACATATTTCCATGTGGTTATTTGAAGAGGTCTGATTTTTCTTTATCTGGATGTATCTGTAACACGCCAAAATAAAATGAGTGACGTTCGATCATCAAAAAGCGGGCACTGCATTTTCGTCTATCGCGCTGAGCGTGTGTTATCTCAATAAGGCCGCATGCCTTGAGCATCTTTTGGGACTTAACCCTTTCAGCCCTGACCACATCTTTACTGGTGGTAGAGAATAATGACGTAATGTCCATCCACCGGTTAAACAACGGCAGAGAAAACTGGCTTAATTCCTAGCTACCGGTTGAACGGTGTGTAAACACTTGTAACTATTTTTATATCTACCCTGGAACGTTACATACCAATTATTTGCGAATTTTGACTCATGAGCTCAGACAGAAGGGTTAAAATTGTTCAGGAACGCAGGGCTCAAAGGGTTAAGCTCAAACTATATCCCAAGTTAAATTCGTCTATAATATCCATAGCTAAAGATACCAGAAAAATGGTCGGCTCCCTGTACCATTGCAGTAACTCCTCCTGATCTCCTCTACATTTACCAGAGCCTGATCAGGTCGAAAATAGTTGGTTTCAAGGAAGGGAAAAGAAAGAAATGGAAGATAAAGAAAGTAATAAAACTATCATATGTTTAACTCTTTAAGACTTGACCACCAATAATAGAAAGAGCATTATGACTTTGTGCCCTGACCACCGCTTTACTGGTGGTAGAGAAAAATGACTTAATACCCAGCCACCGTTTGAACGGCGGGTAAACACTTGTAACTTTTTTTTTAATATCTACCGTGAAACATTAGATACTAATTATTTGCGAATTTTGACCCAGGAGCTCAGACAGAAGGGTTCAAATTGTCCAGGAATGGAGAGCTCAAAGGGTTAAGCTCAAACTATATCTCAACCTCAATTCGTCTATAATATTCATAGCTAAAGATACCGGAAAATGGTCGACTCCCTGTACCACTGCAGTAAGTACCTGACTCCTCCTGTGTCCTCTACATTTACCAGAGCCTGATCAAGTCAAAAATGGAGTACTGGTGCCATATAAAGGTAGAAGCTACCCAGTCTTCACTTTTCAGTCTCGATATTCAAGAGCGTCTTCGCGGCCTTGTGGCTAACAAACTATTTCCACCTTACATTTTTTTCCACAGAGAAAACGTTGCAAGCCAATCGCTACCCTAGCGCTATTTTCATGGAGAGTGTTCCGATGGCAGGCATTCTTTTGTGCTACCGGTTACAATCTTCAGGGTTGAGATCCGCCATGCTAAGCACGTGGTAGCGAACCACACCCTCCATGTCTTCTTATTCTATTAGTAAGTTCCACTCGAACAGCTTTTTCCCATGGACTGCTGCTTAGTGGAACGGGCACCCAAGAGGATGTTTCCCCGATCACACCTGCCTCAAAATGTTCAAGTCTACGGAAGTAACTGTTATCTTCCCCATATATCTCCGTAAACTGTCCCCTTACTTCTTACTCTATAATCCTCTACCTCGGGTGGCTCTTGGCCTTGTACATGGGAAAAATTTTTGTAAAAAAACCACTGCGAAAGATATTGTGTGAGCTTAGTTCGCTCAGTTATGGGGTTATAATAATAGAGGCCTAGAAAAGAAGAAGGTGGTGGTGGGGGAGGAGAAGGAAAAGAAGGTGGTTGGTGGTGGTGGTGGATGAAGAGGATAAAAAGGTGGTGGTGGAGGAGGATGAGAAGGAAAAGAAGAAGGTGGTGGAGAAGTAAAAGGAGAAGGAAAAGAAGAAGATAGTGGGGAAGGATAAGAAGAAGATGGTGGAGGAAGAGGAGAAGGGGGAGGAGGAAAAGAAGAAGAAGGATGTGACGAAGGAGGAGGAGGAGGAGGAAAAGAAGAAAGTTGAGTAATAGGAATAGAATGAAACGAATGAGGCGATGGTGTAGAAGAAGAAAGAGAAGGTGATGCAGCAAAAGGAGGAGGAGAAAAAAGAAGGAGGCGGAGAAGGAAGAAGAGAAGGAAAAGAAGAAGGAGCAGTAAGGGGAGGAGGAGAAGGAAAAGAAAGATTTGATGATGGAGGATGTGGAGGAGGAGAAGGAAAGAAAAAAGTAATGATGGAGGAAGGTGGGGAGAATGAAAAGAATAAGGTGGTAGTGAAGGAAGAGAAGAAGGAAAAGACGATGGTAGTGGAGGAGGAGAAGGAACAGAAGAATGTGATGGTAGAGGGATAAAAGGAGAAAGAAAAGAAGAAGATGGTGGAGAAGGATAAGAAGAAGATGGTGGCGGAAGAGGAGGAGGGGGAGATGAAGAAGAAGAAGGTAGTGGAGGACAAGAAAAGAAGAAGGTGGTGCAGGAAGAGGAGAAGGAGAAGAAAAAGAAGAAGGTGGGGGAGGCGAAGGAAAAAAGAGGTGGTGCAAGAAGAGGAGGAGGAGAAAGAAAAAAGAAGATGGGGAAGGAAAAAAGGAGGTGGCGCAAAAAGAGGAAGAGGAGAAGGACAAGAAAAAGGTAG